TATATTTGTTAAATAAATTTAACAAATAAAATTAAATCTTTATCTTTAATAATTAAATTGTTGTCTATAATTTTCTCAGCAAATTTTCTTATTTTTTATTTATGTATAATTTTCTAATTTTCTAATTTTGCCACATGCATTGCTATCATCTGCTAAATTTTTGATAAACCATTTTTTCTGTAGCATACGAATCTTGATCTCTGAAGACTTTAAAATATTTATCAGGAAAATGTAAGATAATGTAATAGATCCATTAGATTATATTTTTTTTATATTATTGGTTTCTTATTTGCATTTAATTTCTTTTCAGATTTAAGATAATGAAATTTTGATTTCAGATCCATTAATTTTTATAAAACATTTTATTTGGAGCTATCCACTGAATTTTTAATAACTTATTATTTTTTGCTATTCTTATTATTGTTTGTTTCAATTTTTTTACTGAAAAATAATTTTTTGATTTTTTTACAATAAATTTACATTTTTTATAGTATTCTACAGTATTCTTCTGATAGATATAAATAATGCGTGTTTTCATTTCTATTATTGTGAAATCTTCAGTGATAGAAAGAAATAGTTGGATAAAATTTATGATAATCCCAATATTATTTTGATTGAATAATTTTGAGCTAGTTAATGTTTATTTAATACTTACTACTGTTATTTTGTTCAAAATAAGCACCACTACATATTATTATATAATTGTGTTGTGATATTTTTAATACGTTCTATGATAATAAATTTTGCAAATTAAACGAAAATGCGAATTTCTTTTTTTTATTTTTTATTTTCTTGGATTCTTTTTTATCTTCTTTTTCATTATTTTTTAAACATTTTCTGCTTATTCAGCTTTTATTGGGTGTAAATTATTTTATTTTTATTACTAGCTGTTTGGATTTTTATTTTTAAATTATATTTTTATATTTTTATGTAATTAAAAGATAAAAATATAAATTAAATTCTATATTATATTTTTCCATATGTCCATTCATGTGCGTGTGTGTGTGCGTGTGTGTGTGTGTGTGTGTGTGCACAAGCGTCCTTTCATTTTTTTTCTATACATTTTTTGATAAAAAAGTTATATGTTTTTTAAATTTTTTAAATCGAGATTTAATAGTTTTAAAATACTGGAAAATTTTAAATATCTTACATTTATGTATATTTATATTAATGTACATTTATCTATCTTACATTTGATTTTGTGAAATGATTCCTATCATTTTTTTTTAATTATTTGTTTTTATTAATTTTGCTTTAAAAGCATGGATTAAATATTTATCAGATATTTTAAAAATATTTAAAAAATATTTTTTATATTTAAAAAAAATTGTTTACATACATACACATTAATTGAATCAATACCAAAATAATATTTATAATTATGTGTAATTTTATCTCTTTTATAACTTTTAAACCTCTTTTGTTATACAAATCATTTATGAATTATTTTGTTTATGAATCAATTTATATAAAAAAATATTTTGTTTTTTGAAGTCTTCCAATTTCTAAAAATTTTCAAAATTAATCTTTTAATTAAATTCAATTAATATGTGTTTTTTGAAAAGCAATTTTAGTATTGTTTTTTTTTATTTTTTTTTTTATTTTTTTTTCTTTTTATTTTTATTTCAATATTTTGATTTTATGTTTTCTTTCTTAATTCTTTATTTATTACATTATTATTATTATTTATGATTGAATTTTAATCTGATTCTTCTGACATTATTGACCTTATTTCTATTTTTATATTGAAAAAAATTTCAATTATTTCCATCTTATTGAATCAATTTTTATTAAATCTGTGAAATAAATAAATTATCTTAATCTAAATATAAATTCAGTAAATACATTATTATAATGAAATTATGTTATATATTATTTATATTATTAATATTAAATTTATAAATATATCATAATTTTATATAAAGTTAACTTAGTTATTAGCTGATGACAATATAAAAATTTGTAATTATATTTTTTCACACAAATCTTAGAATTATAATCAATTGATTTATATTATTATTGAAATGAAGATGAAATTGGTCTGAATAAGTATGAAAATAATAATTTATGTCACTGCTTACTTCACAATTATTTGATAAAAAATTTTTCCCAATATAAATATATAGATCAATATTACATAAAACAAGTGAAAATCTCAATTTTTTTGATATTACTTTTTTTATAATATTACTTTCATAATTAGCGATATTATTAAATATATAAAGATCACCATCATAGATAAAGATATATAAAGAAGTTAATTTATATTACTATCTATTAAGATTATTTTCCAAATTTCCTTTGAATATATATTATATGTTAGATGTTACTATTAAAAAGTTACTATTTATATAGATAGGAAATATTTGCATTTTTTTAAAATTTCGAAACAAATTTGTTTTATTTTTTAAAAGATAAATAATTTAAGAATTATTGCGCATCTGAATTTTTAAGATGTTTTAAGAATATTGAAAAATATTCTAAATATCTTCTATTACAAAATAACAAAATTTCGGTAATTTTTTTTATATACAACCAATTTTAACATATACATAAGCATTTTCTTTTTTTTTTATATAGTTATTTAATTTTTCAATCTTCATCTGTTAAATATTTAAACTTTGCAAATGTAACACTTAAAAGATTTGTTGCGAAATTTTTATTCTTTTAATATTTATAGTCTTTTGCATATAAACCAATCATATTAGATATCTTTATTGTTTAGATTGTTTTTTCGCATTTCTTTCACGAAAATACTATATTTATATTACATACAATCTATTTATCAACTATTTTGGAAATATTATAGAAGATCAGGTCAGTTTCTTCAATTATCCAATAAAATATTAGAGATAAATTATAATAGAAATAGTAAGATTGCGAATTCATTTGATATTGTCTTTTTTTAATGGTAAAATAAAATAAAATTATGAAAAACAAATATAAAATACAATATAGTGTATGATGTTAGATATATATAGATGAACACAATAATTTTTATATCTTGGACGACAAATTGATCTGTTAATAATTATAAAAGATAAAATTCTAAAAGATAATGATTGTTTTAGCTTAAGAGTAAAAAGAATTTTCTATTAATAAAATTTCTAAGAGTAAAAAAAATTGGTAATTTTTATGTTATAAGGACAAAGTTTTGATACATTTCAAATATATCAAGTATATGTGTATTATACTTATATTGTTATAGTGATATTTATATTCGGATGAAATTCGCAATAAATATTATTGAATGTAAAGAAGATAATGATAGCATTAGATGTAACAATATACAATAATATATTACAATTGTTATCATACAATGAAAAAATGCAAGATCTGTTATTATTAAAAGTTTTCTATGTTTACTCTTCATTTTCAAATAAGTATAATTATTGTCACTTCTTTTCATTAATAATGTTGGATTTATTCTAATTTTTTATATGTAAAAGATTATTATAGTATATATAATAATATAAACATATTTATTATATTTGTATTATTATTTGTATTATATTTGTATTAATTTTTTATATATTTCAATATATATCATATTTGTATTAATCTCATATATTTAAATAGATATTTTATTATAGGCAATAATATATAAACATAGAATATGTAGGATTGCAAATATAATAAGTTTCTGAATCAATAAAATTAAAATATAAATTTTATGTTTATTCATGAATATGTTACAATATATTTTAATAATGAACTTTTTATTTGCAGAATAAATTCCTTTCTGAATGAAGTATTTTTAACTGCAAATGATTAATTTTACTTCTATATTTATGCAAAAATAATTATTTTTCTTATTATAATTATAGCATTACTGTATATTTCATTAATACTAATTTTTTTTTTCTGATTTTTTTTTTCTCATGTTAATTCATTGGTTTACAGCAAAAAAAAAAGATATGAAAGAGGACATGACATCATTTAGACTATGAATACACAATTCCTTGAATAGAATAGTTCAGGAAAAAATCTTGAGCAAAAGGAATAATATGAAATTGAAAAATTTACTTAAAAACTTTATGAAAACAAACTTAAAATAAAAAAACTTTTAATTTGAGTTGAGTTTCATTTGATACATTAACATTATAAAAAATTTATATGTGCTTATCTTTTACAAATTTATTTATAAAACTTGAATATTTGCTTGATTATTAAATGATTTTTCAGGTCTTTATTGAAAACTGCTTTTGAAAAAAATTATATTTCAATTTTTACATATTTTATATATTTTTAATATACAATTTTTAAATATTCAATAAATGATTTTTTTTGCTATCAAAAATATGAATATTGATTTCAAATAACTGCTATTTATAGATACATTCATAAGTTAAAGATATAAAACAAATCATTTCTATGCATTATGTAATTTTTATATCAAAAATAATATATATTTACATTTTCATTTGTTAAAAATAAAACTAAAACTCTGCTTTATAATGTTTCTTGTTGTACCTTGATTTATTTTTTTAATTCAGAAAAATTATCTTTATTTTTATTGCAATGAATGCATTTTTATTATATTCTTTTCTTTAATTCTATTATATTTCTTCTATTAACAATTTTGATATTAAATTTTTTTATGCATTCAAGTTGTAGATTCTATATAATAATAAAATGATTATAACTTACAAATAAAATTAACAAAATCTTTATCATTATTAAATCGTTGTCTATAATTTTCTCAACAAATTTTTGTTATTTTTTGTTTATGTATATCTTCTAGTTTTGTCTAATTAAAACAAATCTAAAACATAACCGCTTTTAATTTGAATCGAGTTAGAATCAAATTAAAATTTGTAATATTAACGTTGATCTAAATGTTAAAATTGAAATGAAAATAAAAAAATAAATAATTGTAAATAATTTTTTTACATATTTTAATTTTAAATCATTTTATTTTAAAAAACAAAAATTTAGAATTTTTTTGTAGTATTACCACAAGTCTCAAAATTTATTCTGTATTTGAAGATTTTTAATAATAAAATTTAATATTTTTTTGGTGTCTATCACGATTACAAATTTGTTTTGTAATCAGCACCAAATAGATGATAGGTTATGAATTAAAATATAACTTAATCTATTTTTGATGCAAAATTTGGTATAAGATTTGATACTAAAATCGATTCATAATAGCAATAGATAGATATACTTTTATAGCCAAACTTTATAGAGATTTGATATCAATTTAGTACTATGTAACCAAATTTCTTTTCTTTACTAGTAAATTATAAAATGAGCAGAATAAAATTCACTTACAAATATTTGATAGATTTATGAACACTTTCATTCATTTTAACCTATTTTTTACGGTAAGAAATTATTATAACATAAATAATCCCTAAATAGTGAATTGCTTAAAGAAGAATGAAAAATAAAAATCAAATAAATTAATACTGTCATTTAATTCTATTATTGTGTAATTGCTATAATGTTAAGTTTAGCTTAAAATATTAAATCTTAAATTAATAAATCTTTTAAATTAAGAGTTTTACTTTATAAATTTATAAATTTTATAAATTCAGTTATAATATACATAAAAATTAAATTTCACTGTTCTTTAAAGATTAAATTAAAACATTATTATTATTCTATATTTGAATTATGTTTATATTTTTATTATATTAAAATATTTTGAGTTTTTTATCTTTAGCATTATTTAAAACAATGAATAATTATCGCGATCCTTTTGGTTTTACTAAACAAACAGCCACTTTATTACGTGGTTTGAATGCATCTGAATTGATACCAGAATGTAAAAAAAGAAATATATCAACTGATGTGTTACATGAACTCAGCGTGCAAGAACTAATTATGTTAGGTAAAAATTAAAAATTTTTAATATATTTTTGTTAAGTAATGAAATTAAAAAAAAAATGTTTCATTTATTTTTTCTAAATAAAAGATTCAAAATTTATTATCTATGATTATATGTTTATAATTGTATTTGTAAAATATATTTTATATCTAATCTAAAATTTCAATGTAGGCCTTAATTCTAAAAAAGCAGAAGAATTACAAAATATTTTAAATATTGAAAAAAGAAGATCCAATATTGTAATAACAAATGTTGAAGACAGGTTGAAAATTATTTTATCATGATATTTTTTAAAAACTATTTTTTTGCAAAAATCAATGAAATGATTAACTTAATCATTAATCAAATTAATTTTATTAAAAAAATTAAAGATTAATTGCAAAATTATTTTTTTAGGATTGAACATTTTCTTCAAATAATTAAACATGGAGAACAACAATTTTCTTTAATACAAGCTCTTATAGCATATTGTCGATTAAGATTGATAAAAGAAAAAATTAATATTTTTGTTGATCTTAATAAGTGTTTGAGTGCTTCTAATATATTACCTATTTCTATTGATGCAACATTAACAGAATTAGAAAAAGCAAAGAAAAATCTTTTTGAACTTGAAGAATTAACTTTAAGGGTATGTCTTAAGTTGACAATACATATATATATATATATATATATTTTATAATATTTTATATAAGTTGACAATATATATTTTAATAAAGTAATTTTCGTCTATGATATTTATGTAATAATTAAAAATATTTTAATTTATTTTTTACAGTCAGAGATAAAACCAAAACATAATAATATCCAGCAAATTTGTACTTTTATTAGTGTATTAGGATTAGTAACATTTGTATTATTTAAGATATATGTAACTTAAACAATATGATATAAGCACAATTTACAAAAAACAACAAATTATTTCTTATTATTTTAAAATTTTTTTTAATATTTGCTTCTAAAATAAAAAAGTTTTTTTTATTTTAATGTATTTTATAGTTTCAAATGATATTAAGAAATAAAATAATAAAAATAAATATACAATAAAAAATTGAAAATATTAATAATGAAATGTGAAGATTGAATTAAAAAAAAGATAATCGATTTTATTATAAGCATTATCAAGTTCTAAATTGATGCTGTTTTTCAAATTGATTATTATTTTCATTAAATAATAAATAATTTTAATAGTAATAAATGGTATTATATTAAGTGTATTACTTATTGCAAATAAATTTGTATAAATTTTAATCTTTGTGTTTTGCAATTATTTCTATAAAGAATTCTATTCCAGTTTTTTTTCAATTTTTATCAATTTTATTAATTTTATACTTAATAATTATTAAGAATTAAATGAAAACTTAATAATACAATTTATGTATATAACTGTGCTAATATATATTAATATATATATATATAATGTAAATTCATGTTAATTAAATTAAATGAATAATTTTGTGATTGAATTAAATTTTGCGATTCAATCGAAAAGGATCGAATTCTTGATTAATTTACGTTCCATCCACCCGAAGCGCTCTTGTGAAAGGATCCACCCTAAAAAATTGAGTAGTGGAAGTAGAAAAGAGAATTTTCTCTCAGCGCATGCGCGCTTCCATTAGCTTCGAGCTTTCAAATTTCAGCTCAGTCGCAATAAGATGGACGGTGGAGCGTACGGTGGAGGAAAGGCAGGAGCCCCTTTCGATCCTATTGCCTTCATTCAAAGGCCTCAAGTTATTCTAAAAGCTATATGTTTGGTAAGTTTTTTCCTTGAACATATAATACTTCGTTTTTTATTTCTATTGATGTCTTTTTAAATTAAAACATATATCGATTTTATGCGACGAACATTGATTTTAAAGAGTAAACCACCCCCACCAGTTTGACATGATGGGGTTTTATTGATTTTTCGCAAATTCCAGTGATAGACCCCATAGAAAGAATATATAATTCCATATAATTTTCTAATGATTTTTGAATATATTTTACTTTAACTTTTCTGTCATTTATCATCATTAGATGAAAAATTAAAAAATAATTCAAATAAAATCTTTTATCATAATTATCATAACGTAAATTTTAGCTTTAAGTCATGAAAATGTTATATGATTTTTGAAGTAATTTAAAATTAAAAAAAAAAATATTATTTATGAGACATATTAGAAAATATATTTAGAGATGGATTTATTTAGATATAGATATGAAAAGTTTGAATGACAAGAAGAAGAGTGACAACGAATGTAAGTAAAATATCGATATTGGTATGAACAAAGACCGTAGAAATATATATATATATATATATTTGTATATGTATAAAATGAAGTTCTCTCCGAACAGTTTTAGTGAAACTTGGAAAAAAATTAATAATACAAAAGTGACCAAAAAAATAGATAGTTTGATGGATTTAAGTAATTAATTCATAAATAAATACAGATTGAATTTAAAAATGATAAGTATATATAAATTTTTAAGTTTATAATTATGACTTAAAATATATAAGAAGAGAGAAAAATTATGTCAATTGATATGTCATAACAAAAATAATTAATAATTATATAATTTTGATCTTTGAAAAAAAAAGTAACATAATTTTATATTTATTTTTCAAATACAATTTTTGTAATATTTAGAAAATAAATTATATTATTTAATAATTTAATAAGAAATAAATTCTTTTATTAATTTAAGAAATTTCATTATTTTTATAATATATTATCCAGTTTACAAAGTTCTTATTAGTAGAATTAAAATAAGAATCAAAATAAAATTAGAGTCTTAATTAATTTTTTTAATCTTTAATTAAAAATTGTAAATATTGTTAGGTAAATTAAAAATAAAAATTTAAACTAAATTGAAAAATTAAAAAATTAGCAATTCAAAATGTTAATGTCATTAAATAATTTGAAATTATAAATTTTATTAAGAATAATATCATTTTAATTCTTATGTATATCTTAAAGTGCTATTTTATATATTTTCATATTATATTATATTATTTGTTTATTTTTATTTAATTAAAATCTCCAAAATTTTTTTATTTTAATTAAAATTTATTATTATTAATTATTAATTTAATTTTCAATTTAGCTTTATTTGAAGTTTTTTAATAAATTAAATAATAAATGAAATAATAATTAATTTATGAAATATTTTTATAAATTATTATATAATTTATAATTATATAATTTTTATTATTTTTATAAAGTAATTTAAAAAATATTTCATATTGCGATTGTAATAAAAGAAATAGGTAAATAAAAATTATCTTTTTTTTTCAATTATTTAGTTTTGTAATTATGATGTTTTTTTTTTGCGATTTTCTTTCTTATTCCTATCTTAAGACAGATCCGAACGAAATCGAAACTAAATTCGATTTTATATTAACAATATGTAAAAAAAAAAAACAAGTATTTCATGGAAAATCAAATGAAAGATTAGTTTTAATGCGAAAATTTTAATTCGAATACAAAAAAGAAATTTTCTTATAATTTCTTATAATATCGAGGTAATTTAAATATTTAATTAAATATAGGATATTTAATTAAATATAGGATTTTTAATTTCTATATTGGTACCGACTTTATATTATTTGTTAAATATATTGATGTATAAATAATCGATTAATTTTTGAAGAATTCAATCATAAATATGTAATAAAATATGATAAAAGTATTATATGATGCATATAAATTATAATTTAAAATATAAATAAAAAAAGAGTTCAATTATATTAAGTAATTTTACTTAATAATTATTATATATATATAATTATATAATTATTATAATTATTATAAAAAAATAATATTAATTATAAAATTATATATTAATTATAAATACTATAATTGATAATATCAAAAGTAAATGAAAATCAATCCATAAATTAATTGGATAATAAATTATTTCATCATAAGCAATAATCATGAATAAGTTATTTATTATTTAAAAATCAATAGTTTGTTTTATAATTTATAATTTTTTGATTCTAATTTATAAATTCTTTATTTTCTATTTTTTCTTTTCTTTTTTTGTATATATGAATTATTTCAAAATAGATTTTTTTTTTTTTTATTTACATATAATATATTAATAAATTGAAAAAAATGATATTTAGTAGATATTTAATAAAAAATAATATATGATTTAAAAAAATATTTTTAAAATATTATTTTACAATAAAGATATTCTACGAAATTTTAAAAAAATTATATATATTAATTATTATAATTTAAAAAAATGAAGATTTTTTTTGTAGAATATAAAAAATTAATTCTATTAATTATTCTATAAATAAAATTAATAAATTTAAAAAATTTTAAGGACATATAAAAATATATAAAAATAAAAAATATAATAATAAAAAACATATATAAAAATATATATAACAATAAATATATACAAGATTAGTAATTGTAGTAATTCTAGTAATTAAACTATAACTCTATTCCAAATAAAATTAGAAAAAAATTATAGAGAAAAATATTACGTAATTTAATATTTTATCATTATAATAGTCCAATTATAGAATCAACTTGTATATCATATTATATAGTATATTTAAATATATATAAAAAATACAATATAATTTTTATTAAAAATAATTTAAATTAGATTATAAAAATTATTTAATTATTTAAATTATTATTTATTAAATTAAATTTATTTAATTTTAATTTTAATTTTTTAGCTCTTCGCAATAATTGTATTCGGATGCATAAGCAACAAAGGATACATAAAAAAGGAAGGCGGAAAAGAGGTATGTCTTTATAATGAAGATCATAATGCTTGCAATTATGGAATAGGAATTGGAGTGCTTGCCTTCCTCGCCAGTATCGGATTCCTTGCTGGCGAATATCTCTTTGAGCAGATGTCTTCTGTTAAGACTAGAAAACATTTTGTCTTACTTGATTTAGGGTATGTATTTCTTATTTTAAACTATAACAAATTTCTGAAATTGTTAAAACTAAATTGTATATATGTATATACAGAATATATGTATAGAATATATTCATGAGATTTTTTGAAGAGGAAAAAGTAGAAAATTTTCTTCAAATTCTAGAGATCAAAATAAATAAAAATTATATTAGATAAAACAACCTTATTTTATCTCCAAATAGAACTTGTATTGTTTTACAAGAGAATATTGTAATATCATATATAATGATATTATAAATCTCTTTTAGATGAATCCATTTCCTGAGTTCATTCAAACTCATCTTGAAATCTCTTGCATATTACATAATTAGATACAATTAGATTTTTTTCTTGAAAAATAATATAAAATAAATAAAATAATATAAAAAATTTTTTAAAATGACTTATAATTTAGGAAATAATTACATTCGAAGATTAAAATAAAATATTCTATATATATGTATTTATAATAATTATTTGTAATATAATTTTAACTTTTATTTTCGTATCATAATTTTTTTAATAAAAATTAAAAATTTTAATTTTTTAAAATTGCATGGATTGATATTTATTTAAATTACTTACAGGATTTTATATTTTTTTTTTAAGTATTTTCGATATTTTTTAATTGTAAATAAAATATATTCAGTGATGGCTCATTCATAAGAAAATTCACATTAATTGTATGATATATAAAAATACGAATAAATATTTTTACGAAATGATTTAAATATCGATTTATTTTTGTTTTGTTATATTAAAAAAAAATATTATTATTAAATATGAAAAATTTTAATGATAAATAATTATAAATGAATTTATAAATAAAAAAATGTAATTTAAGGAAATAGGATAATTATTGATATCTTTTTGTTTTTATATTTTATTTATATTTTATATTATATATATATACATATATATATATATATATATATATATATATAATTTACTTATTAATTATAACGCAAATTATATATATATATACGAACTATTTTTTTGAAACTGATATAATTATTCATATATTTAGATATTTAAGAGTTTATTGAATTATTATTATTTGAATTAACTGAAAAATATTGATAAACATTAATAAATTCGAATAATATTTTTAAACTATAAACATGTTAAATTTTATATAATAATAAAAAAAATAAAAGAATTTTTTTTAGCTACAAATGGACTTATTTAATAAATTTTCAAAAACATAATCAATTTATATAATTTATATTAAAATATAAATATTAAATAAAAATATAAATAAATTAATATTTAATTATAAATTATAAATATAAATAAATTAATATTAATATATAATTTATATTTTAATTGAAGTAAACTTTTTTGAAATATATTTTTTTAATATAAAAAATAATTAAAATGAAGACATATAAACGTAAATTGATTTTATTAAGAAATATTTTCAGTTATATTATATAAGAATTTATAATAAATAACTATAAGAAATAAAATATTTTATTAAGATAAGTAATAATAATTTTATTCATATTTCAATTTTTTTTATTTTTTTTTTAATATCATGAAATTCATAACAAGTAAGAAAGAACAAAGCAATAGTATTGTTATATTTATTTTTTGTTATAGATTTTTTTTGAAGTTCTATAAAATGTAATTATTTTGTTAAATTTTTTAATTTTTTTTTTTCTAAAAGCAGGACTTTAAATTATGAATTTTTTCCTATAATTTTTTTATTAAAATAAATGTTATAAAATTCATTACTTTTAAATCTCATCAAGCTATAAAGACTTTAATGGTGATACATAAAGAATTTATAATAATTAATAATTAACATGATTAAAAAGTTGTTTTAATTATTCTTTTTTACAAATGGACTTATATCATTTAAAAAAAATATTTTTATAATAATATTTAATAATTAAATTTTGAATTTTGAATTTATAAAGATATTATATAATATTAATTTTATTATTTATAAATGAAAAGAAGTTATTCATAACTAACTTAGTCTTAACTAATTTTAAAATTGGACTTATATTACTTTAAAAATAAATGGCTAATTTCAGTTTTATCGCTACCTTATTATAATAAATTATATATTATTATAAATCATATTTTTATAAATCATCACTAAATAATTATAAAAAATATATTAAATTAATAATATTCAATCTCTAATAAAAAAAATCTTGATAAAATCTCATTTAAAATCGAAAGTTATTTAATTATTTAATAGGAAATTCGTATTATAAAATATTGAAATAATTAAAGCATTATATTTTAATGTTTAGATTCTCTGGTTTTTGGGCATTCCTTTATTTTATTGGATTTTGTTACTTAACCAATGCTTGGAATAAATCAGAAACACCGAAAGATAATTATGGAGTGAACAACGTTCAAAGCGCTATCGCTTTTTCCTTTTTCTCCATTTTTACTTGGGTAAATTAATTAAATATTTTTATTTTATTAAATTTTTAACTTAATAAATCAATGTAATGATATGAATAAATTTTTGAAATATTAATTAAATTCAAATATTTATAAAATTAATAATTTTTAAATCATAGAAATATTTTTATATTTATACAATACAAAAATTTAATTATATAAAAATAAAAAATTACAATAAATTATAGAATTACAAAATTACAAAAATATTATTTATTCTTAATTTAACATCTATATTTAATATTTATATACATATAATAGGCTGCCTGTGCATGGTTTGCGTTTCAAAGATTCAAACAAGGAACTGATGCTGCATTTGCACCAAGTTATGAAGCAGATCCTGTTGGTGGAACAGGATATACAAGTTATCCTGATGCGACTGATACTGGTTACCAAGAACCGCCTTTTGGTCAACAACAACAACAACAACAACAACAACAACAACAACAACAACAACAACAACAACGGATGCCCGATTTTCGAGCTCCAGCTTATTAACTCTGAATATAATTTATCACTATCGGTAAAGTAAAATTTATATTATTTTTTAATTCAAATCAATATTTTATATTGATAATATTACGAAATTATTGTTAAATTAATTAATATATTTTATAAAGAAACACTAATTTTTAATAATATTAATATTTAAAGTTGTAAATTTTTTTTACCTAATATAGCAAAAAATAATTTTTTATTGCATGTTATCTTTTTAGACACAACGTAAAAAAATAATAAGAAAAGAAGACAGAAGCTCTATAAAAAATCTATAATGATTGAGCAATGTCGATAGAGTAAATTATAATAATATAACATAGTGAATGAAAGAAAAAGAAAAGATGAGTAAATAGGAAGAATAAAAAAATTAGAAAAGAAAAACAGAAATAAAGAGAAAAAAAAGAGCAAGAAAGAGAACATGTATGTATGTAAATACAAGATATTAATATATTCATAAGATATATATTTTTTGAAGAATCGATTTTCGAAAAACCAAAATTTATATAAAAATGTTGGTTGAGATCATTTATTAAATTTTAAGCAATTTAAATTCGTAATAAATGAAATAAGTAAAAATAAAATGTGATAGCGATGTAAAGAAGACAGAACGATCTCATTGTCTTTTCATCTCACTTTATTGTACAAACTTCAATTGCTTATAATTTATGATAAAGAAATATTAACTGATATTTTTATATATTAATTTTTGTGTTTATTTTGGTTTTTAAAATTGATTCTTGAATATTTTATTTCTGTCAAATATATTACTATTGACAATGAATATATTAACATCCTGTATATGTATGAGTATGTACGTATACATGTGTGAATATGAGAAAAAATAAAAATGTATGAATGTGTAGAGGCAAAACAACAAAATATTACTTGTTAAAACTGTGCTTCGTATTGCTGACCACTTATAAATCTCACATCTAAAAATCAGTGGCGTAAAAAAAGAATATTTAAAAAAAAGAAAAAATTGGGTTACTGCCCTTGCATAAAAAACTTAAGATCGAAAAATAAATAAAAAAATAGAAGAAAAAAGGAGGGAGGAGAGAGAGAGAGAGAGAGAGAGAGAGAGAGAGAGAGAGAGAGAATGGATATTCACTATCCATAGAATTATATATAAATATAAATTCACACATATACACGCGCGCGCGCGCACGAATATATATCTATATATATGTGTGTGTGTGTACATATTAGAATGTGCCGAAAATAGAACGGCATAAGCGAGAAATGTAAAATTATTCGCCACTATAAATGTGAAATAAATATTATAAATAAATAATTTTTTGAATAAAATATTAGTTTTTTTTCTCTTAAATAAAAATCTCTTAAAGCATGCTTACAACTTGAGAACGTGCCGGAGAACGTTTGTTGTCATAAAATATTGTTTAATATTTTATGAATGCTCAGTATTTTGTTTTAAATAGTATTATACTAAAAAAAATATAATAATAACAGTATAATAAAAATAAAAAGAAAGATTATCTTAATAAATAAATCTTCAATCTTAAGGCGAGGAATTTTATATTTGTCATTTGTATTATTGTTTTCAAAACATTGTATGTATACATACACACACATATATATATATATATATATATATATATATGTAATTGTAAACGATAAAGAATAGCGGTTCTGTAATAATTCTTAACTAGTTATATGCACATATATTTTACTGTGTTGATATAACGTGTTCATAGAAAATCGCGAATACGACTGTAACTACTGTTAACAAGACCTATATCAAAGAAAAGAAAAAAAATTACGATTCCATTAGAAATCAAATTATTCTTGATTTCATTCTATCATTGTCGTATATCATCTTATATTATAGGAGAATTCTTCTTCGCAATACATTGCGTATTAATGTGTCAACAGAGTGTAAGTACTATTTTTAAGAAAGTATCGAAGGTTTATTGATCTTCATGACATATTGTGCACTTTTTCAGTTCATATTATGATAGGTTTTTTTAATTTTTTCAAAAAGAAGAAAAAAAAAATAAAAATATATTAAAATTATATTATTTTATTATATTATATTAAATTATTTTATTAAATTTTGTTAATGTTATATTTTTTATGTTATAATATTATATTAACATTATAATTATAATTAATTAATTATATTAGAGAAATTGGGACAGCAATTATTATTTAAATAAAAATATAATATATATAATTGGTATATTGAACATTGTAAAAGAAAAAATAATGAAAAATATTTTTTGTTAGAAAAATAAAGCATTACTAATTTATTTTTTTGATATTATTTTATATAAAAAATAATTTTGTATAAAGAAAAATAATTAAATGATTGTATTTTTTTGGAAATTAAATTATTTTCTACCCAGTTTCTCAATGTTATATTAATATAAATTTTTAAAATAATTTTAAGAGATATTTACATGACTTAAATAGAGATTTAAGAGTGATTTAAGTACTTTTTTTATAAAAATAATTTTGTATTGCTCCGATGTTAAATTAAAATATTTAATTATTTGAAGAAATTTCTATTATGTTTTCATAAGTGATTTTTACATTCAATACTTTTTTAGCATCAAAATATATTCATTTATGTTTTAATAATATTGGAGCAAATAAAATTTTTTCTATAAATTACGCGAATAATTTACGAACATTGCATGACAGTGTCGTAAAAAAAAAAAAAAAAAAATAAATAAATAAAATTATTTTTTCGATATATTGTATTATTTTTCCTAAGCATTGTTATATTTATATCAATGTTATATTTAATAATTATTTGATGATATTATAACTTTTACGTTTATTATTGTGAGACTACTATAAGACATGTAAATAAAAAAGAAATACATAAAAATATCAATATATTATTAAAAAGAGTAAAAAAAAGAATTATATTGTTATTTAAAAAAAATTATATGATTAGAAATTTTTCTATATTTAAAATTTTTCTATATTTTTTTTATTTTTTAAATAATTATGTTCTAGAAATAAAGAAATGTAGTTATTGTTATATAATATTACTATTGTTTTGAATAACTTTTCTTTAATGAAAAAAAATATTTTTGAACAATTGTGTATTAGGATTTTTATTTCTGAACTTAGTTTTTGTAAAAATCTTTATTTATATTACAATATAAATATTGTTCATACTAGAGAGGGAAAAAATATTTATTAAAGAAATAATATTAATTATATAATTGTATTATTGTAATTATACTAGGTGTCTCATTGTAACAAACAAATTTACTTATATAAAAAATAGCAATCAATTTATTTATATGAATATATTTATAATATATTCAATTTTTAAAAAATTAATTTTATATGTAATCATCATATTATAAAATTCATTGTTTATTTTAATATTCTATATATCTATAATGTAATTAAATTTAATTTAATTTTAAAAATAAAAATATATAAATTTGAATTTTGATTTTAATGTTTTAGGAAATTTTTAAAGATTTTTTTAATTTTTGATAATAATTTTCAAAGAAAATTAAAAATTTAAAATCTTTGAGATACCTTGTATATAACATACATTTGAAACAGTAAAAATAAGTGTTTAGAAAAGAAATATATAATTAACTATAGATGAGATATATATAAGTAATTATTTTGCAAGTTGAATATTTAAAGAATAGTTAAAATCAATAGTTTTAATTGATTTATTCTTTCTAATATGGTAATATTAATATAATTATCAATTAAAATTGTATTTTCTATTTATAGAGATTTTTAAAATAGAAAAAATTAAAAAAAATTTTTTTTATTTTATTTAATTGGCAGTATGTAAAATTTATATATATTTATATTTATTTAACATAATTATATTTATATTTATATTTTACATAATATATTTTACAAAATATACATTGTGAATATCAACGAGAAGAATAAAATTAATTTTACTAACTTTAATTTTACTACTTTTATAGAATTCTTACAAAGCATTAGAATATTTAATAAGTATTTAACACTTAAATAATAAATATATTTTTAAATTAAAAATTTAAAAATAAATTATAATTTAAATATACGTAATTTAAATATACGTAAATATTATATTTTACATATATATAATCACTTTATATTATTACTTCTCGTTGTTTTTCACATTCAATTTGTAGCTTCTTTAAAAACCATTATATACTATCGTCTATTGAAAATCAAGAAAATACATATATGTATAAGCTTATAAATTATCGTAGCAAATGAAGTATTCTGAATAAATACATATTTACATGACAGACAATTTTACTAACGATCGTATTCATATTTGCATCTGTTATTAATAATTTCATCTGTTATTAATAATTATATTATAATTATTTATTAATAATTATATTTAAAAGCTTATCGAATGATTTAATTAATATTTTCATGAAATTGAAAAATTTTCTAAGAACTTTCTAATCTTTTTAAAAAATTCGATAAACATTCTTTTTTTACAATAAAAGATGTAATATTTCTTTTCCTTCTTTTTTTAAAAGCAACATTATAATAATAAGAATTTCTTTAATATCTTTTTTATTCGACGACATATATGATATTGACAACTTTTAATTCGCCGAGCTTGATCGTGAATTGATTGATGAATTTGATCTTATTTTTAGTCTCTTAGATTTCCAAATAATTAGTCGACAGTATGTAACGATTTTAATATCAATGATGGAAACAGAATATTTATTTATTAATGTTCCTTAGAATTAAATTCATCGTTGTACTATTTTTTATATTTATATTATCAAATATTTGAAAGAATTTGTATTATTAAATAATAATATTTTGTTGTTTAATAAATTTTTAGTGTCTAATCTATGATAATTTTCAAATCCAATCTTTATTATAAATGGAAACATGTAAATATTTCTTTAATTTATATTATCATTCAATGGTTTAAATATCATATATATTTTATATGTATTTATAAAAGAATTGAAAATGAAAAGAATTCAAAAATTTTTTTTCTTATCATTTTTTCAAAAGAGGAATATTTTATACATTCAAAGTTTATAAATAAAATTACATTTATAAATAACATTTATGAATAAATTACATTTTCATTGAAAACGAATTTTTTAATTATATCAATATTTCATAAAAATTATTTAATGTATATAATGTA